TAACTATCACTGCTGTTACTATAAATGATGTAATAATAATTCATGTCATCCGTCATCAAAGTGATGGCTGCGTACATTTTGAATAATTTTATAAAATTTGTAAATTATATTTGTAAATTAGCTTGTTTAAGCAATCACTGTTTTATACAATATGTATACGAATTTTCATTTCAGATACCTATCAATTTTGTATGTAATAAATTTATATGAATCGATTAGCAAAATTAAAATAAAAATAAAATAAAAAATTAAAATTAAAATAACAATTTGTGAATCATATCGATAACTACTGGAAAATATAACATACTATTAAATACACTTTTGTATGATATGTAAATAACGCTTTATTACATTAAAGGAGTGCTTTAAGTTTTTTATTACTTACATAAACTTTTATTATTTTTATTAGAAATTTAAAATGTTAAATGTTTTTTTTTTTTTTTTTTGTTAATTTAACTATGATAATTTTTGTAATTCAAATTCAGAGTAACCACCACAAAAAAATAAAATCTCGTTTATTTATTTATAATATTAACCATAAAACAATATAATATTATGATTAATTAATTGCCTAAAATTTGGAATAACTATTATATTTATATTACTTTCTTATAATTTATATAAATTACATAGATACCTACTCAATTTCCATGTATTTATGAAAAAAAAAACGGAAATGGTACAGCTACACGTCTTATCATTAAACTATTGTAATATTTTCAACATAGTAATATTCCAGTGAGTTATATTTTAATAATTTCTATATTTTTATCTAAGCCTTTAGATATAAAAACGTGCAAAATATGGATGTTACAATATCTACTGTACAAGCGTAAAATAGTTGTACATTAATAATTGTAGTGTAAGTATATTATATTATTCTATTGAGTTTTATTGGTATCTCTATATTGTTATTGCAGTGAACACTTACGATAAATAGACAAAACATGTATTTAATTTAATTAAGTTATTTAAAAGTAGTATTGGGGAAGGATTAAATGAATCATCACGTTGAATTAAAATAAATCACAGTATAATATGAGAACCATATAAGTAGGTAAATAATCGAAAATAATTATTTCTGTAAGGATATTTTATTTATGAGATTTATATTAATGTTTTAAAAAAAAAATTTGTAATATAATAATTTAAAATTGTTTGTTATACTTAGGAAAATGAGTTATTTATAAAACATTTATTTGCAAACATTTTTCAGTTGTTGTCGTTTTCTAAAATTCAGTGGCAAGTAAATAATTATTACACTTGAAACCAATTCCGATGAAATGTATAGAGAATCATTGTAATAATATAATAAATATAGCAATAGACGAAACAGATGAACTAAAGAGAAATTATTTGGAAGATGTAAGTAGCAAATAATGTACCTAATTTATGCTCAGGAAACTAGACGATTACAAACATTAAATGGAAACTTTATTATTATTAGTTTTTATTACACATGGAAACATTTATATTTTAAATCGTTAAATTTGTATTCATTATCATTAATAAATGTTTTCTTTTACTGATATTAAATATTAATACTACAAAAACCACTATTCTTTTTAGTTGATTATGTGTATTTTAATAAAAACGTTAATATTTGTTAATTCTGTATTTACGAGTGCTTTTAATCATGACTTACTATGAATACAAAATATTAATGTAATTTTATTATTTCCTAAAAAATATTGCTCTATATATATTAATCTAAAAAAGCATACTTATATTAAATAGATAAACTTAATAATCTAATGCATGTTTCTTATTTATTTAGTTATTCTCAAAAAAAACAAATTGTATACACTACAGTTAAGAGTTAATAACAAATAAAGAAAGACAGAAAAAACTGATAATGTAACACATGTTATTAGTAATAACGACCTGATATATTAATAATATTAAAGTTAAAATTTAAAAGATGCTATAGTGCTCATCCCCAAAAGCATCATACTGTGAATATATAGGGTGGTTCCTATCATAATTAGTGTTATGAAAATTAACAAAAAAAAAAAAAAGAAAGAAAAGAATAATAATTGAATATAGTTGAATTAGATGGAACTTTAAAATGGAATTGAGAGAAGATAGTGGAGGCATTCACACGTCCATAAATTAGCTTAAACTATATATAGATATTGATAAAATATTATTCTTATTCTTATCACAGAAAAAAAAAAATTAAAAAATACTGTTTATTTATGAAGAATAATTTATAACTTATTAATAATAATGTTGGTAATATTTTGGTGTACCTGTCTTTAAACTTCAATTTTTTGATAAAACACCATGCATAAGAAAAAAGAGTTAGTAAAAATTATTTAAATTTTCTTTTTATAATTTTTTTTATATAACTATACAGCATACATTTTGTAAGCATTAAAAAAAGTACCCAAGATGACGATCTTTTATAGTTGTTATAAGTAGGGTTTGAAAGTTGATGACCTTAAAAACATTAAAAATTACCTAAAAAAAAAATGCAAATATTTGTTTAAAATTAGTAAAAATAAATTTTTTTTAGAAGAATAGTAATAATAATAATAATTACTCAAAACTATTACATTGGACTGTTAAAGCATATTTTATATTGTCAAAAGTAAAAATGACAGCTAGCAATTGCCTTATTCTATCGAGTCTTTATCTTTACCTAACCTGTATACAACTTGTGTAAAATATTATTTTGTTAAATATGAATTTGATGTAGGTTAGGTTGTGTAAAACAAAAGCTATGCTTGTAAAAATGTTAATAGACAAAATCTAACTATAAATACAAGGAATTGAACTAAAAAGGAAAATAGGACCTAAAAATGACAAAATATGACTGAAAAAGTAAAAAAAAGGCGAAAAATGCAAGAAAATGTAAAATAAAAATTAGTTATTTAGATTCAAATGTTTACGAAATACGTTTGTGGCCAGGAGAACATCGTCTAATAAGTAAAAAAAAAAAAAAATACAAAATGCATTAACTTCCAAGCCCTAGTTATAAGTCGTTGTTATTAAACAAAATTATTCAAAATATGTACAGAATAAATCGCATTTTGAATTGTAAATTCGTTTTATAAATTATAACGTCTGATTTTTAACGAGTTTACGTCAATTGGTCGTGGTAAAATTGGTCGTCTGAAATTGGTCATTTGATAAATTAGTCAAAGAATATTTTTGTCGCAAAACACGAATATTGGTTTAAGAAGTTATATATAGGTACAAATCGACAAAAATCATTACTAAATATTTTGCGATAATAAGTTGGATAATAGTGTGTATAAATTTAAACTGTCAGGTTAAACCGTTTGAAAATGGTTCAATATTGTACCGGAGCGGAAATCCCTGGAAAACGGAAGAAATATAATGACACCACTGAGAGGATAAATACAATATATAAAACGTTTAATAATAGAACATTTATTGATGAATAAATATTAGGGATAGCTCATAACTTAATACTTTTCACTCATTATTTTTTATAACTTATATTTTCACACATATTACTACAAATTCTTTTAAGAAAATTTGTGACAAAATATTATTTTTATTACTAATGTATACTAATTATATACTTATATACTAAATTTCTAAGCGACCAATTTCAGACCAGACGACCGATTTTACCACGACCAATTGACTGTACCACATTTTTACCGATTTAATAATAAATAGTAAATAATAATAATAATTTTTACAATTTGAAATCATTTTTAAATTGTTATATAAAGTCATATATAATAATTTATTTATTTTAAAAAATAAATAAAATATTATTGTAATTTTATTAGTTATATCATATGGTATTTTATCTATCTACATAATAATATTATATTGTGTTACATAAAGTTTAATATCTTCATACTAATTAATTCAATAGGTTATGCACAATAATTTATTTGATTATTCATGAATCATAATACATTAAAAAGTATTTAAATATTTTATGATTATTTATATTTTAATTATATTTTTTAAAAACTTAAACTTTTTTCGTAGAGTTAAAATTCAGTATGAAACTATAATTTATTAATTTCTGTTGTTAAAATGTTGAAATTATTCAAATATTTATTTATAGCAGTTTTTATGCGTATAATTTAACGGAAAGACCAAAATAATGTCAGAAAAAATGAACAGTTATTTTCAAATTCTACTTATTCTTTGCATTTTTAAATTTTTTTGTCAAAATGTATTACTTTTACTTTTTTATAAATACGATTTAAACTAAATAATACAAATGTATTTAAGTATCATAGTATCATGAATTATAACCTAAGCTATCTAATTTATTTAGATGATATATTATTAATGCTTAGCCTTTGAAAAGGTTTAAAAAAAAAAAAAATTGTTTTATATAATAAATATATTTATAAATGTATAAAATATATTTCATGTGGTAATAATTATTTGAATTTTATTTTTAATTAGGTAAATTTTTACGTGCTTTTTTTATTATTATTAATTTTAATATTTTAAACATTTTGTGATACATTAATCACTAATCACCCATTTTTTTCAATAGTAATTTGAAAACAATTCTTTGCACCTGCAAAATAATAATATTAACAATTATTATACACACTTATACAACTGTAAAATTAATGTTATTTTGATAATTATAATATTTTTAAATAGGTAGGAGTTGTTTATTTTATTTATAGGTATAGGTATAACAAATTATTATTCCATAGATCTTGTATAATATACATTTATACATATCACTAAATAAATAGTTAAGAAAATATATTAAAAATGTAGGAATTGACTAATATTATTAAAAATTTTAGATTTGTTTTTGCTTGTGGTATCTTATTGAATGTAGTTAACTATCTATTATCGTAGAACGGTGGCCGGCCGACAGGGTCAAAGAAGCGCGCTATCACAAGGTGAACGAAAGAAAGAAAAATTGAGAAGGAGAGTGATAGTTGATGTTACTAAACGAATTACAAAAAGTGAATGTTTTGCCCGCATCCAAGTTGTCCGATTCCCAGGTGTATAAGAAGCGTCGATAACTTAAGCTCATCATCAGTTAGTCGTTCTACCGTGAGTGAACAACTATCAGTTTATTCTAGTGGTGCATTTGTGTTTAACTTGTGTTTAAAATATCTAGTATGATGAAAATACGCTTTGTAGTGAGTACCAACAACATATTTTATAGATTTATAAACGTTAAATTCTTTAAGAGTTTGTTTAAAAAAAAAACTTAGATTTTTATATCTTAAAAAGTATTGTTTGATGTTTAAAACTTAATAAATTAACCGTTCAATTTGTATACTTACTTTTTATCTTATAGTCTATAAAGTTATAATAATAAAAAAAAAAAAAAACATTAACATTAAAATTTTTCAAAAACTAAATTTTATTCCAAAAATAATAATGCGTTTATTGATTGTTTGATTGTAAATTTAAAATGTAAAATTTCGAATTTGACTATTACAAGTATTAGGCAAATTTAATTCTTAAAAAGTTTCTATTAATTGGCATAGGTATCTAACTAACGAACGATCATTACGTGTTATTACAGGTGTTGGCGTCGCTCGCGACATTAGCACTCGCAAGACCCGAAGCTGGATACTCTTACAGCTCACCGTCCTCGTCAGGTGGCTACTCTTCTGGAAGCACCGGCCTGAGCTTCTTGGGCGGCGGTGGTGGTGGTGGTTACTCAAGCGGTGGCTCCGGTGGTTATGCTAGCGGCAGCTCCGGTTACTCCAGTGGTCCAATTAGCTCCGGTGCATACTCTAGCGGCGGTAGTTCCGGTGGATATTCCAGCGGTGGTAGTTCCGGTGGATATTCCAGCGGTGGTAGTTCCGGTGGATATTCCAGCGGTGGTAGTATCGGTGGATACTCCAGCGGTGGTAGTATCGGTGGATACTCCAGCGGTGGTTCTGGATTCTCTAGTGGCCCAGTCAGCTCCGGATACTCCGGTGGTAGCTCCGGATACGCGAGTGGATCTGGTTCCGGATACTCATCGGGCTACAACTATGCCCCGGCCGCTCCAGTCGTCCAGAAACACATCTACGTCCATGTTCCACCACCAGAACAAGAATACGTTGCACCCCCACAAGTCCATCAGGTCGCTCCACCCCAGAAACACTACAAAATCATCTTCATCAAGGCCCCAACCCCACCAACCCCAACTGCTCCGATCATACCACAAGTGCAACAAGACTCCGAGAAGACCTTGATCTACGTTTTGGTCAAGAGGCCCGAAGACCAACCACAAATCTCCATCCCAACACCAGCACCAACTGCCCCATCCAAACCGGAAGTATACTTCATCAAATACAAGACCCAAAAGGAAGCCGGCGGTTACGCTGCCAGCTCTGGCTCGTCCAGTTACAGCGGACCCACATCAGCAGGTGGCTACAGCGGTGACTCAGTTGGACATTCCGGTATCTCATCTCTGTCCTCCAGTGGCCCAGGATCCAGTTACGGAGCCCCGAGCGCCAGCCCATCATCCAGTTATGGTGCCCCAAGTTCCAGTGGATCTTACTAGGGTGCTCAATATGAACATGGTTTTATAATTTTGTCGTCCTTACGTACACGCTTCGCGCCGGTGGCCGCGGGAAACCGTTGATTGTTACTTTTCCACGGTCAGTGAATATTTCAAGAAGCGTGGCCACCCTCTACTCCCAACTTTCCCCCCAAACGTCCTCTCCCCCGTCCCTCCTTAATACTACACCCCTAGACTCAATTCCGGTGCTCCTCCCTCCCAAAAATGCAATTGTAACATATTATATAACATCCATGTAAACTATTTTATTTGTGTTTTATATTTTTATTTTTTTTTAACGAAAATCGCGATTTTATATTATATTATTTTTATTATTTTTTTATTAGTCTCAAGCTCAATTTTCTAAACGCGTATATACAATATAATACGCTATCGTAATTTTACTAGCTGATTTATATTAGAACACATAATATAATAATATTGTTGTCATGATTTATATTAATACGAAATATACAATTCAATTTTTTTATAATTTTTATTCTTATCTGTTACTCGTTAGTCGTTTCTATTTCCGATGTCTACGCTTTTATGGTTATTGATGTAAATTTCTAGCGCGAAAAAATTTAATAATATAAAAGCCGATACAATTAGGTGCTTGTGATCAACAGTAGGTACTGTGAGAAACGCCAATGGAAATAGCTGCAGTGATTTGCTATTGGTATTTGTCATAATTTGCACATTTTCTTTCGCTCCCTTGACACAGACATATAAAAAATATACAAGCAGACAGAGCAGCATCATGGTATACATATATATATATATATATAATCGTCGCTTGTAATAGCTCTGCTGATTAGATCGTCCGGAAGACGAATCCTTCGAATTCCGGCACACCGATTTAACCCGGAGACTTTCGCCTACTATGCGAATTATGTATTTTTTATTTTTATTTTTTTTTTGATAATTAATATGGCAATGGCGGTCAGACCGTGGCGGTGATTCGCGCAATGGAAACGTGAAAAATAATAATAATAATAATAGTAATAATAATTTATACCAGTTGCGTTCGCTCCGTAACGATATGGCGATCACGCGCGGTGACCCCGCCGCATATTATTTTAATCACGCGTTCGGGTGTCTGATAATGATAAAACAACAAAATAACAGAAATCAAATTAAATACGAAACAACACGAAATTTCATCCGAGCAGCACTTTCGCTCATCACGACCGCCGCACACACCTTTCTCCGCGCCGCGCAACGGAATAAAATAAGGCGTATACCCGTATAATGTACATAATAATGTAATACATAACAGTGGCGATGCGGTGACCCCGACCAGTGATCCGTGTGCGATGTGGGCGAAACGGAGTGAAAATACGAGATAAACATAAAATATCATAATATTATTACCCGTCCATATTGCCATACGTATTTAGAATACATTAAGCTCATACTTGTACGTATTATGGTGCTTGCAGTTGCTGTAATAGTGATATTATGTTATTCGTGTTTCCCGGTGACGACCTTCACGTGGCATCTTCTCGGACCATCCGGCCAACCGGCCTTCGCGAGAGCTGTGACCTGCGATTGTTTATGAAAACGAAATAACATAGTATTACACCCATTACATGTGCACTGATTTACTGGTGATTTTTCATAGCATTTCTACATCGTCTTTAGTACTCGTCATACGTTATACATGATTATTTGATATCTTTAAGGAAGTTTAAAAATAATACACAATTTAAATGATCTTATTTTAAATAACTTAGAGATTTTATAGGATTTAAGAATAGTCCTGAATAAATTTCGAGAAATTCCATTTTTTTTTTCTTAAGGTTTAGTATATGGATGGATATTAATATTATAAACCTTAAAACCGAGCTTAATCAAATTAATTAATTTTTTATTAAATGGTATTACAATAACATAGGTTATAAATCCATCGTTCATTTAATGATATTATAATATTTAAATATTCGATAGAATATGTTATTGACTAAATTACTCTGAAATTATATTATTCTTTCAAACTTTATTTTGAATACAGCATTTTCTTGAAAAAAAAGAGTTTTTATTGGCACAAGATAATCCATAAATGTTGAAAAAATCTAAGCATTTTAAAAACAAAATAATGAATTGATTCTAAAATTTAGAATTTAAATAAATTTTTAATACTCAAGTAAGAATGTTTCACGTAGTCACGTAGTCGCGTTATTCGTTAAACTCCATTTATTAGCATCCATGTAGTGTGTGTGTGTGTGTGTGTGTGTGTGTGTGTGTGTGTGTGTGTGTATGTGTGATATGTTGAGAATATTGCGTAAGCAGTGGTTCTAATATTTGAAATTAATAATAAAATATCTGAGTAGGTAACAAAACACCCACTTGACACGTTTACAAATTACGTTAAACGTTAAACGGAAGACAATCGGTTATACACAATAATATGATTGTAGTTAATATGATTATATAACATATAAATTGAGTTTGTAAATTATCTATAATAACCATATGTAATAGTATTATGTCTATCACTTACGGCGTTGTAATAATGTATTATAACATTATACACATCTAAATTTTATTGAAATTGACACGAGATTCGCGTGCTTTAATGTGTGTGACCAGTTAAGCGATTTCCGGATTAATACGACTCAATGTACGTACTGGTAATAATAATTAACTAAAGTATAAATATATTATTATGCTATACATACAATATTACTATACATGTATTTAAAGATTATGTTACACAATTTAGAATGTCCAGATTATTTATTTTTTGACGAAAAAACGAACGACGGATTGTATCAGCTCGAAGAACGTACAGAAAAATAAACCGACATACCATCCGGTTTAATTGGTTAGATTAAATTAATACTTAATTCATACACAAACAAATTGTAAGTCACAATATCGATATGCCTAGTTATAAGTATTATAATTTAATAAAATTACGAGCAGTGCTCAAACTAAAGGGAGCAGCTCTTCTACTAGTTTTATTTTTTATTTTTTGTATAATCCAACTATTTTATTTTTAACTGGGATGGCAAAAACTAATGCTCAAAATAATTTTTCTTAAAATGTGTATTTAAGTCACTGCCAATGATATAATAAATTAAAAAGTAAAAATGTAAATTTTATGTGATGCCTAAACAAGAAATGAGATTGATATTAATTAAAAACAACTGAACATATTTTTAGGACTGCAATTTTTATTTGGCATTGTTACGCCAGATTAACACTAACGAAGTATATTGTCAAAAAATAAATGTAAGCGATAAACAACATGTATACTAAATGTGGTTAATTCTGAATCAAAAACAATAACTGTTCATTTTATTATTTGTTAATAATATTTTCATTAAGTAGTTAAGATATTAAATAAATATGATAATAGTTGCTATTTATATATTTCATTCTGATATATAGATGAATTTCTATGAATATGAGATTTAATAATATTTAAAAAAAAGCTTTTTGAAGTGGCTGAATGTATAAAACGTATTGAATGAATTTGGAAAAAATGAGTGAATATACCCATATTAACTTACTTAGTTACATAATATATTATTATTCTTGAAATGTTTATATTGTTATTAACTAGAGTAAAATATTCAAAATGTAGGCATGGTATGACGAGAAAGGCTTATGTTAAATAAGTTTACAGTAAAGATACAATTTTCAAATCATTGAACTCTAGTTAATTTTTCCCAATTCAAGTACTGAGTATAAAGGTATTCGTCAGACTGGTACTTCGAAAGTGAAAGTTTTGCATATTATTTTTTTGAAAAATTACTAATCAATTTTTAATTATTTATAATAAAATCAGAATTCTAGATCTAGACCCTTTATTTTCTCATTTCTAAGTTTTCAACCAAGAAAAAATATTGTGTGTTTTTTATAAGTTGAAGTTCAAATTTTGTAGTTCACCATTTCCTAAAATTTGTTAAGTGTGTATTTGATACTCAAGAACATAAAATAAAATACAATTTTGTTTAAAATACATTGTTATATAAAATAAATACCTACATAACATAGTTTTATTATGCATAAAAATCTTCACCTTTAGTAATCAACCCTAAGGTTGATTTTACATTATTTTTCCATACTCCTTCTACTGTTATCTTCTATTAGCCATTCAGTTAAATTCTTTGTATGTTTTTAGTCCGATATCTTAAATAATTTAATTAATACAGTTATCTTTTTTCTAGGACTTCCTCTGCCTTTTACCTTCTATTATTGTCATTTCAATATTCAGTAGTTCAGTTTCTCCTCGTATTTTAAAATACGTTCGATTAGTCTCCATCTTCACATGAAGATCGGTGAACCTAACCTAGATAGGTAATTTGTTAATTTACATGGTATATATACATATATATTATATATATATATGAACATTTATTTCTATATAAATAATATAAATCTTTTGTTGAAACTATGAATTAATTTGTCATGTAGGTATACAATTGAGAATTGTATATAAACAAATTAAACATAAAATAAAAATCGTTTTAATATAAAATTTATAAAATATTTATTTTAATTTATACAGATACAGTTATTACTAATTGACTATTAAAGTATTAGATTAGTAAAATAAATTTTATTTGTCTTATGATATATTTTTGTAGAGAAAATTTATTTAGGATGTTTCCTTAATACACTTTGATATTTCAATGAAAATGTAAAAGGTAATACTGTTTATTCGGTTTTTCTAGTAGCTTTTCACAAAAATGTTTTAATTCGTTTAAGCATTAGAACGGAGTTTTTTTTTTTTTTTGTGTTATTGTTGAAAATAGTAAGGTAACTAACACTTTAAATAAAACCGTATGAATTATTAAAAGAGTAACTAATATCATTGTTATCAACTCAATTGTTCCGTTATCGCTTGCATTTAACCCATTATTATAATTAGCTTTTGATTGGAAGTCTAACGTTTAATTAATAAATTTATTAAACACTTTTTTTTTTTGTAAATGTTAACGTTAAAATTTTCTATTTTTCTATTAATCGACAGCCAAAATATAAGTTCTTGATGCTTGATACTTTTGGTAGGTACGTTTCATGATATTGGCCAATATAGAAATTTTGATCTAAGAGTTTACATTTATAAAATAAAAACAGTATATTTGAAAGAAATACTGAGTTATTCACTAAACGCGTTGTGTACCGTGATCGATTATCGTAAATTTATATTGTTATACTTTGTGGCTTATACAATAATTATATACGTCTCATTCATTAATACACTCCTGACTTACCAATATTGATTTTGATTTTTATAATTTGACTGTATA